ATGACTCTTCCTCCCTCTCTAACCCCTCTCCAACCACACACACACACACACACACACACACACACAAATGCAGAAATAGCAGCAGCAGACATCTAAGCGGTGCTGGCTACGTACGCACATGCAGGCCTGCCTTGTTGACAGCCCAGAAGTCCCCGCCAAACTGTTTCTTATCTGTGGCGCTTTGTAATTGGCACCTTTACCATCCCGTTCGCGCTGGCCCCTCTTCGCGTCCGAGAAAGTGCCGTCGCTGTTATTGTGCATGACTGGCTTCGCATGTTTATGTCAGGTTCCGTGCATGTGTATCCAAAACAACAACTCATGACTATCACCAAAGAATGAGAAGCTGATGTGTCAGCCGAGTGGAAGGGGCCTACCAACAACTGGATGCAACTTGATGCACCTGACACCACAACCACTCACTGTTCGTCAACAAAAACACGCCATGCAAGTGGGTTCGAATGAGTGCTGCCCGCCCGCCCATTTGGCGCACTGCCGCGTCTTATCTGCTTGTGGTGTCCCCTTTTCGCTTGTATGCATGTCCTTGTATGCGCTTGCGCGAGGGTCAGTTTTCACACACTTTTTCGTGAGATCTGCCACCCTTTTTTTGCAGTGCCACAAACTGAAATCCCGCGGGCAAAGCAGAAGAAGAGACAGCAGTGGTGGTGATGGTGGTGGTGGTCGTGGTGTGCTGCTGTTGTTGTTGTTCATTCCACCCCCAGCACTGGCACTCAAACCTCCTCAACGCACCATTGCACCTCGCTTGTCGATGGGCCCGCAGCTCGGCCAGTGTGCGTGTGTGAACATCTCTTGTGCAGTGCCAGTGCAGCCTCCGTTCCATTTTCATTTTCAGCTTTGCAGGTGAGGTTACTGTGACCGTTACACCCCGTCCTTGTGTTTTGTTTGGCACTGCAGCTATGCAGCGGTGGTGATTGCCCACAGCTCTGCAGCTGCCTTGTTTTGTGTGCTTACCACTGTGCGTTTGACTGCAAATTGGGTTCAAGTGACCGTTGAATTCATTCACCTTCTTGTACCAGTCAGACACAAGCACATCTCACATTGTCCACCACCTTCCTCGCCCCACCTACTCACTCACCCCTTCACCTTGCTACCCTGGCACTGCAACCGTCCGTGCTCCAAATTGTTTGTGTGTCTGCGTCTTTGCGCGTCTGGTGTGTTCCTCTTTCTTTCTACGACCCCCTTGCATTCTCTTCGACACGCGTTTCCCCCATCACCCATCTCCTTGTCGTTACGCCGTCAACATGAACCCTTTCCGCACGTTCCCCACTCTTCTGCATTCAGTTTCTCAGAACCCACCCAGTAGCAAGCCAAACAAGGCCTCTCGTCACCGCACTCAGCCCAACAAAACCGCCAAAGGTTAGTTGTGCACATGTGTGCGTGTGTGTGCATGTGCGCATGAATGCGTGTTTGTGCGTGTGATGCATGGATGTTGCAAGCACCTTGTTTTGCAACCCACTTCCAAACGGGGTTCCTCAGCCACAAACTCTCAATCACGCACACACACATGCACACTCACACTCACACTCACACACACACACACACACTCACACACACACACTCACACACACACTCACTCACTCCCACACACACACACACACACTCCCACACACACACACACTCTCACACACACACACACACACACACTCTCTCTCTCTCTCTCTCACACACACACACACACACACACACACACACACACACACACACACACACACACACACACACTCAGTGACGCGAAAGCGGGCAGACAGGGGGAAGAACCCCAACCCCCGCAAGAAGATGAAGGCGGAGGAGTACGCAACCAACACAAAGCAGTGCTGGGTCTGTGGCAAGACCAAATCATCGCGCGTCATGATCTTCTGGTGCTCCAAGCACCACCTCAAGGACGTGGAGTTTGATGGGTACTTCCTCACCGTCCTCAACAGCCCCGTTGCGGACTGCACAGGCGACCTTCGCTGCCGTGCAAGATACACCATCTGCCACCCGTGCAAGGTGGCCATTGAGGCTCTATCCAACCGCATCACCCTCGTTCGTGGCTGCTACCCGCAGCTGTACCAAGCGTGGACGTTCAACATCAAGCCGTCGCACCTCCGGCCACCCCAAGAAGCAGACGATCACGATGATGGCTTGCATGACGACGATGACGCAGAGACCCTACACAACCAGCACCACGATCACAGCGCACCAGTAAGCAGGATGGCCCCGCACGACCCGCAACAACGGAGCGCATTGCGACCGTTGCAACCACGCTCATCACACATCATGCAGTTCATGCCACAGGACACGCATGTTCCTCATCCGCACATGCACCAGCAACAGCCCCAGTCACAGCAGCATTGTCACCAACAGCAGCACATGTATCCTCCGCCACAACCACGACGACAACAACAACAACAGCAGCAGCAGCAGCAAGCACAAGCACAAGCACAAGCACAAGCACAGCGCCGCCACCACCAGCCGCAGCAAAGAATGCAGGCGAGCGAGCACACACACCATCAGTCAATGCAAATACGCCAGCGCACGCCTTCCCAGCCAGCCATGTTCAAAGGCAGCGGATCTGGCAGTGGTAGTGGCGGCGGCGGCATGCAATTCGGACACTTTGCTACATCGAGTCCGTCCATTGTGCCGCGGTTTGCGCCGGGCGATGATGATGGCCCAGACGGCGCCAGCGGCGGCGACCTCGAGCGCCAGTACATGGGCGGCCCGTACCCATTGCAGCCACCCATTATCTCCGGGATGGGCAGCAGTGGTGATGCCAGTGGTTCGCAACAGCACACTCAGCAGCAACGTCCCAAGTCGCAGCGGCAGCGACAGCAGCAACAAGACAACGAGTACCAGCACCAGCATCAACAGCAGCACACGCCTGTTCAACCCATGTTCTTCCCCAACCTGCCGCCGTCGTCGTCATCGTGTGCACCCATGCCTGCTGTGTCCGGTGTGCCAGCAGCCACATCACTCGTGCGCAGCAGCAAGAGGGCAACTGGCAGTGTGCACGGCAACTGGATGCAGCAGCCCGCACCCTTGTTGGATGATTTGGCTGCCAGTGGCGGTGGAGAGTACGTCATTGTCAACACCAGCCACGGAAGCAGCACCAACAATGACAGCAGCACAAGTACCGGCGTTGTTGTTGCGAGCGAATCCCCTTCTGTGAGCCTTCCAGGCCTGTCTCTTGCTCCACCTCAGCAACCGCAGCAGCAGCAGCACCGCCGGCGCACGCAACGTCACTACCAACACCAACACCAACACCAGCAAGACGATGACGATGACGACAACGACAACAACAACGACAACGACAGCGTTGGCGACGGAAATGAGCATGGTGACGCTTCCAATCCATCTTCCAAGGCACAACTCGCGAGAAGTGGTCACTCGTTTTCGAAGAAGTTGCCCCATGCCTTGTACGCGACGCCGACACCAGACACAACACACGGGCCGCAACGCCAATATCATCAACAGCAGCAACAACAGCATCAACATCAACAGCAGCAGCAGCAGCAGCAGCGATACACGACGGCGGAGGACGTGAGCAGTGCATCGGCGGCTCACGCAAGCTTTGTGCAGTACCAGGACAATGCTGGCCAGGTGCGCGTTGTTCAAATGATGCCGGGTCTCAGTGCTGGCTCAGGCCATGACGCGACAGAGGCTGGCGACCGCATGTTTCCCATGTACACCATGTTCCCGACCATGTCGCGTGCGCAGAAACTGCCCACATCCACCGCCACCTCGGCTGACACAAGCACAGGCACTGGCCGTGTCAGCAACAACGACACACTTGGCACTGCAGTGGCCTCCACCGCCCTTGTGGGCGCAAACCCGTCAACACAAGCGCCAACACGACAACCACGCCAACCACAACCACGCCAGCAACAGCAACAGCAGCAAGGGAGTACCCATACATCAGATCATGACCACAGCACAGCTGCACCGCAGCCGGTGATGGGGATGTGGCTGCCATATGATGCAACTTTTGGGCCCGTGCAAGGCACGCACATCCGTGTGGATGAGATCGGTGGCACGCGCGCTGTTCGGCCCACCTCTGTACCGCCACTCGCCACAGTCAGTGCTGTGGGCACAGAGTTGGCCACCAAGGTGACGACGCCCAAGCCAGCAGCTGTGATGCAGGCTTATTCTAGCGGAAATACTGGCACAATTGCCAGCTCATCCGCGGGTGGCAACAACACCAACGCACCCGCGTCGCCAGCTGCGGCATCAGCATCAGCTCCCTCAGCACTGGTGGACACAGCAGCAGCGACAGCAACAGCAACAGTGCACCACCCAGAGCCAGGAGCCCCCAAGTCACACTCACACACCTCGCCGGGGAGTCGTGCACTACACCGCCAGCAGCAGCAGCTACAACAACAACAACAACAGCAGCAGCAAGAGAACAGTAACACCAACGCAGACAACAACACCGTGGACAGCGCTGCCGACACCGCCGCCGATGACAGCACAGCTGCTGCGGATGGGTTGGACGAGGCGAAAGGTCAAGCGGATGTGCACAACAGCGACAACAACGACGACGCCACCAGTGGGCAGCCCTCGCTTGCAGTTGCGCAATCGCACTCGGTGGTGACATCTTCCTCTAGCGCCGCAAAGAACAAAGCGATGCAGTCGACACGGGAGCACGATGGCGCTGATGTTAACAGCAACCACGACAGGCGCGATGATAACCACGATGAAGACGAGGACAAGGAACAACAACAACAACAACAACAACAACAACAACAACAACAGCCACAACAACAACAACAACAACAGCCACAACAACAGCCACAACAACAACAACAACAACAACAACAACAACAACAGCCACAACAACAACAACAGCAACAACAACAGCAACAACAACAACAACAACAACAACAGCCACAACAACAACAACAACAACAGCCACAACAACAGCCACAACAACAACAACAACAACAACAACAACAACAACAACAACAACAACAACAACAACAACAACAACAACAACAACAACAACAACAACAACAACAACAACAACAACAACAACAACAACACGATACAAGAACGGTACCACAGACGCCTTCACCATCATCGTCGTCGTCACACACAACAGTCACAGCGCAGGCACCAGTGACAACAGCGCATGTGACAAGCAGCGCACCCCTATCTTCCGAACCAGCGGCTAAACAGCACGCTGGCGCTGATGCCGGTGCTGAACATGACTGCGATGGTGATAGTGACAAAGATGAAGATGATGACGGATGCAATGCTGATCTCAAGGGTACTAGTGATGGTGAGCAACACAAGGCAAAGCCAGCGGCGGTGCAGCAGCCTGAGGCGAGTGGCGCGGCGGTGGCGCCGTTCCTCCCGGGGCACGGCGCACCCACAGCCAGCAGCGACGTCAACAAAGAGATTGCACAGCTCTTTCTTGAGGGAAAACTGACAGAGGCTCTCCGTCGCTCGAAGGAGGTATGTGTGGTGTGTGTGTGTTTTCGTGTGCGTGTGTGGTCGTGTGTGTTTTCGCGCGTGCGTGCGGTCATGATCGTGTGTTTTCGTGTGCGTGTGTGTGTGTGTGTTTTTGCTGAACCACATCTCCAGTTCACTGTCTCTGTCGCTTCGTCCCATGCGCCTTGTGTGCTCTGTGTGTTCCGAATCTTGTTCTCACACCACGCTTGACCGTGTCTCTCTCTCTCTATCGTGTCACTGTGTCGTTATGTGCAGGCGTTACCACAGCAGTTCATGAGCGTGATAACCGAGGAAGAAGGGGTAGAAGGGGATGTTCACTAGCGCTTGTTCACACGCAGGCATATTCCTTCGATGCTTGTCCCTTTTGACAGTGTGTTGTATCCAGCAAGACGCAGCCACTCGTGTGTGTGTGTGTGTATTCGGTGTTCACATGCGTGTTGGTTGTTCATTGTGTATTTAGCTGTGTATGTACATAGCGGGCTTGCAGCGAAGACAAAAGGAGACAGGAGAAGAGCAGCTGGAATATTCGCACTTGTACATATGTGTATGTCAATGTGCGTATACGTGTGTGTGTGCGTGTGTGCGTGTATGACGACTACGTGTGGGACCGGGTGATTGTGACAGTACCAATTAAATGGACACTCAAGCGACACGAGTAGTTGCAGCCGAGAGAGGGCACAAGTGAATGCCAATGTGTATGTCGTGTGTGTGTGTGTGTGTGCACGTGTGTGTGTGCGTGTGTGTATACCCCATCGTTGACGCTGCACTGCTTGATCACAGGGGGGCTATGGTGGAGATGCCACGACACACGTCACTGTCAGGATACGCGTCCGTCTGCGCCAAGATGATGGAGAGTAAAGATGGGCCGTGTGAGGAGTAGCAGTAGAAGGGCACAGAGGCGAAATAAGGGGAGGGGCCTACAAAGAGACGGGAAATGTAGTGTGTTGGACACGCGCACACAACACACACACACACACAGACACACAGACACACGCACAGACAGACACACAGACACACGCACAGACAGACAGACAGACACACAGACACACACAAGGCACACACGCAAGAGCACCAGGCGGCACCTGTTGAACTGGGCGACCGTCAGGTTTGGGCGAAGGGGCCACTTGATGTCAATATCAATGTAGTACACGTTTGGACGCGCGTGCACCACAAGTCGCTCCTCCCCCACGTCAAGCGCTACCGTGCGCGCAGACCGCTGCACCAACAGCAGCACAGCGGTGGTCGTGGCGGTGAGTGAGTGAGAGAAAGTGTGTGTGTGTGTGATATGTGTGTGTGTGAGTGATATGTGTGTGTGTGTGAGTGATATGTGTGTGTGTGTGTGTTGCAGTGGTGGCAGGGCAGCTGGCTGGTTGCACTCACGAGCTTGTCGAGATGGAACTCAAACACGAGAAACTCAGGATGGCCGTGCTCCGGGTCCTGAAGGGTGATAGCGGTGATGGTGAGCGGGAGCAGCAGCAGAGGCAGGAGCCGTGGTGATTGCTAATGTGGCGTGATAGGTGGTAACGAGACGAGGTCCGAGACAATAATACAAACGCATGTCGTGGGTGTTGATGACCTACCCTGTACATCTCATACTTGGGCTGTGGGCCTTTCCACTCGCTGTCTTTTGCGTCGTCTTCAGACACGACGGTCACATCCTTCCTGCAACCGGCCAACGTCGCAGTAGTCGCGTTATGAGTACGCGCACCGCTGTTACGCACACATACACACACGCGCTCGCGCGCACACACACACATACACATACACGCACACACACACATACACATACACACGCACACACACACACACACACAAACCAACCAACAAACAAACAAGCTAACAGCGTGGGGTTCCCCAAGAGATGACCACGTGCACTCACGTTGAGACATCGCGGATCTTGCGCTTTACGCGACACATTTGGGGCACCGGTTTGCCCATGGATTTGCGTCGCTTCATCACCTTGTACACTGACAGTCACAACAAAGATGACAATGACGACGAAAGAGAGGCGATCACGCAGTTTCAAGGCAAATGAGCGCACACGCGAGAGTGAGTGAGTGAGTGAGTGAGTGAGTGAGTGAGTGAGTGAGTGAGTGAGTGAGTGAGTGAGGGTTGGTCTGAGAAGAACTGTGTGGAGGTTACAGGGCAGCGTCAACAAGGTTTGCTGGACAGGAGTTCAAGCTTGTATATAGATTGGGTAAAATGCGAATGACAAGCAAAAGTAAGAGCAAGACGCGTGATGTTGACACACCTCGGTTGAGGGCGAGGTTGTGCTTGGCCTCCACTTGACACATGACAAGCTCCACCACAAACTCGCGCATGCCTTCTCGCTCCTGTTCGACCAGTGTGAAAATAAAGAAGCAACGCAGCAGAGTGCCGTTCACACAGTGCAAGCGTGAGAGACACGCGTCAGCAAATGTGCGTGGATGTGCATTTTAAAGCGCACCCAGCAGACCCGACAGAGAAGGCACACATTGCGGGGGTTGCCATACACCACGGGACCTACGTTGAGCTGCTCCACAACACTGCTGTTTACAATGGCATCAAATGCGCGGCAGGGCGTGCCAGCTAGTGTGCATGTTGATGCACAGCAAGGCATGCGCGGAGGTAAAAAACAAACAAACACGTGAGCAGTGTGATGATCTCACCAACGCTGTCGTGCCGCCGTTGCATGCGCAGTCGAGTAACATCATACCGCTCAGACGGACACCACAAAAAGGTACAGAAACTTGCACACACACGCACACACACGCACACGCATACACACACAAGCATACACACACACACACACAAGCACACGCACTGTTGTCTGGCTCCATGTGTGGCGGTCCCACGCTCATGGGAATGCGAAAACGGGTGCCATCCTCGTTGGCAATGACAAGTGCCAGCTCCTCATCAGAAATGGATGGTGGTGCAGGGATATCTTCGGAGTGGCAAATGTTCAAGAACACCTTTTCACCGCTCTCAATATCCGTCTTGATGCAAAACCCTTCACACATCCAACGCAAGCATCAAGTCATGCGCAAACACACAAACAAACACAAGTACGCATAGATACACCCAGTGAGCACACACTTGAATAACAGTTCAATCCACAGCAGCCGTGACACAAGCGACTCATGCAGCCACACATGCGCAGCCACAGAAAGAACTGAAACAAACCATCCGACCTGGTTTGGGCGTAATCAGCTTCACGTCTTGCTGCTGTTGCTGTTGCGCCGACTTTTGCTGGTCGTCTTGGATCTCCTGTGTGTGTGCGTGTGTGCGTGCGTGCGTGAGTGTGTGTGTGTGTGAATGTGCGTGAGTGTGTGTGCTATATCGCGAACGCACACACACATACATACATGCACGCATATGCACATACATACACACACATACATGCACGCATGATGCACGCACTAGACAGACAAAATAAGAGCGTGTGGTTCCAAAACCTGACCTGTACTAAGCGCTGCACAGCCGCAGGTGTACTGGCGGCAGCGTCCCCTTCCAAACTTATTCTGTCCTGCATGATGTGTGCTGTTGATGTGTGGTGCGTGCTTGGATTGACAGAGGATGACATCAGTGAGCGGAAAATCACTTTAACGTGTTTGACGATTTATTTCGCCGTTCTCGACCACAGAGAACACGCTAAAAACACCCTTTTCCTCAGCACAATTGACTACGGCACCCCACCCCACATCCACCCACCAAGACACAATGAACCACACAACAGGCAAACCACTCACACTAATCCTCGTCTTCATGTTCACCCTCATCGTCGTCCTCGTCACTGTCCTCGTCACTGTCCTTGTCTTTGTCCTCGTTCACAACATCGACCTCTTCCATATTCTCATCATCATCATCACGCTGCCCGTCATCGAACACCCCATCATCGATTGCCTCCTCATCCACCTCATCGAGGCTCGTGATCTGCCTGTAAAGCTCATCCAGCCGAGCATCTGCTTTTGCAATGCATCCCTCAACTGTCTTCGGTGTCAGGGTTGCAAACGCCTCGTCCAACCGCTGGCGCACGTCCTTGAACGTTGTGTCGTAGTTGTACTGTCGACCAACGTCTCCTTTCACGTTTGCCCAAACAATCTCGATGGGCTGAAGGTCGGAGTAATGCGGCGGTGTCCACAGCACCTCGTGCCCAGCGTCCTCTGCCATTTGCACGACGACGGGCTTGACTGTCTGCGCAATGTGTTCGCGAAGCCTGGCCCACAGCAAGGCCCGAGTGTCGGTGTCGGATACTGGCAGGCCGCGCGCCGTGCAGGCCTCGACCATGGCTGCCTTCTTCCATGATTGCTTGGGCGTGTCCGCTGGGAGTGACTTGTGGTACTTGGCGTTGTCCATGACAATGATGGTGTTTTTGATGCCACGGGCGTCGAGCGTGGCGAGCAGCGTCTGCATCCAGCGCTCAAAGTATGCACTGTCAAACATGCCATGGTAGTCTTTGGTCTGCGCCTTGCCACTCTGCTTCTTGCCCCCCTCAAAGATGTCCAGCGTCTCGGGTAACAGCTGTGCACGATGTTCCTCGGATCGCTCTGCTTCTGGTACTGCAGGGTCGCTTGAGATGATTGCCGCGATGAAACAGAAGCGCCGGCCTTTGTGCTTTTGCTTGGGGAGCAGGCGGTTATCACCGGGGTCGTACAGCGACTCATCATGCGGGCGGTAGTGGTGGTGTATGTAGCTCTCGTTGAGGTAGACAATGCGTCGCCGCTGCTGTAGGGCCTTGATCATCTGGGTGATGTACGCGTCTCGTTTGATCAGCACCTCCCTCCTTCTCCATGTAGGTGGTGCAACCGCCTCGCTGACCTCTCTCGTAGCCAAGTGACTCCAGGTATCGTTGCACAGCTCTCAGGGCGTTCGCTTTCGAAGTGGGATCAGAGTACATCGGCAGCACACCGGAGGAGCAGAAGAAGCCGAGCACGTCCTTTGCCACAGTTCGGTTGCCCTTGACAGTGCGCTCGTACAACCAGTTCTGCAGCTTCACACGCAATGCCTCAGTGCGCTTGAACTTCGTCGTCTTGGTCCCGCGTGGCCCGTCGTTGTCTGCGACTGACACCGCTTGCGCGCGCTCGTAGTCCTTCCATGCTTGTTGACAGACGTCTGTGCTGCGCTGAAGGACGTTCTTTGCGAGTGCCGTGAACCGATACTGCTTGGGCCTCCCTGACTTGTTCGCGTGGACAAACTTCTCATGGCGAAAGTACGCCTGCACGGCGACGATGTCCAGCTTTGCGTCCACCGTCAGCGTCCTGGAGTTTTCCTTGCGCTGCTTCTTGAGCCACTTCTTGAAGGCGTCGTACTCCTCATTGTCAAGGCTCCCGGCGTACAATCGGCCTTCTTTCTTCTTGACACACGGCGGTGTTCCGTCAGTGCTGCCTGCTGCGGTGGCCGATCTGCGCTGCGCCATCTTGGATGCAGAAAGTCGTTGGCATCAATGTGAATAATCGGCAATCCTGGAGGTAACAGGAAAAGATGGTTCTGTGCTTGCGCTCTGAGGTTTGCTGTCTTCGTTCTCTGTTGTGCGTGGGACAGCCAACGGACAATGGAAGCGATTGACGCATATTTCGGGTGGTTTTGAATGTGTGCCGGTGATGAAAACTTATTTTTTCCGCTCACTGATGTCATCCTCTGTGAACAAGAAGAGACTGAGCAAGCGAGGTTGCTGTTGCTTGTGTGCCTAGAATTACCGAATTTCGTTGAAAGATACCGCTACTTTTCTTCAACGACGGTTTCGGAGACGATAGACAGAGCAAAAGCAAGACAAGCAGCCAGAGCAGTTGATTGTTGTTGTGGACGCAAGCACCGACCCAGACCAGCGAGCAGCAGCGAAGAGCAGAGGAACAAGCACACATTCACACAAGGCGAAGATGGCTGAGGACGAGGGTCGCATCATCAAACAAGAGGCCGACTACACGGAGGAGGTCGATGCCTCGCTTCCCATCGCTTCCTCCCTCGCACAGGTTGACCAGCAACGTTTGTCGCTCAAGAACGTCGACAATTCCTTTTTGTTTTTGTTTGGTTTGATGTGTATTGTGTGGTGTATTGTGTGGTGTATTGTGTGTGGTGTGTGCTTGACAAGTACTTACTGTGTGGTGTGTGTGTGTGTGTGTTAGCGTTAGTGTACCATGTCATTCACCTCGATTGTGTCGTCCTTCACTCTCGCCTGCGTTTGTGTGCCGCTCGCTCACACCTTGAACACAAACCCTATTGCGTGCTTGCTTTTCTGGTCTTCGCAACAGGATGGAAAGCTGGACGAGGCCATTGAGTCTCTCCTTCCTCTGGAGAAGAAGAGCCGCATGGTACAATGAAGCAGGCCATGCTGTGCGTCTTGTCTCCAACCCTCATGTTCACTGTTTTGTTTGTGCTATCCCTGATAGTCAGCTCGCACTCACAATGCGTTTCCGATGTAACTGTCCATTCCAATCACCGCTCGTTGTGCAACGCCGTGTCTGTTTTCTAAAGGCCGCGGACATGAAGTCGACAAGCCGCATTCTCGTCCACATTGTCACCATGTGCTTTGAGCAGCAAGCATGGGACAAGATGCTTGAGAACATTGTCATGCTCATCAAGCGGCGTGGCCAAATCAAGAAGGCAAGGGCACCGCTGCTCGTGCTTGCTGTCACCATGACTGTGGTGTTGGTCGTGTGTGCATTCCTGCTGCTGCCACTGAAGTCGATGTTGCTGCTGCTACTGTGGCTGCTGTTGCTGCTGCTACTGTGGTCGCTGTTGCTACTGTTGCTGCTTCTGCCACTCCCGTTGCTGCGTGCTTGTCCCTTTGTAAATGTGACACCTCCACCTCACCCCGGTGCTGTGATGGTGCACAGGCTGTGACCGACATGATCCGCAAGGTGTGCGAGTTTATCGAGCAAGCGCCAGACAAAGCGACCAAGCTCAAGATGCTCGATACCGTGCGCACCATCACCGCCGGCAAGGTCTGTAGTGTGTTCGTGCGTGCGTGTGTTCGTGCGTGCGTGCGTGTGTGTGTGTATGTGTGTGTGTGTGTGTGTGTGTGCTTCATGCACGTGAGTTATCGCGCCACGAGTCACCCCCTGAACCGAGCTCACGACCAACTATCGTGATGCTGTTGTTGTGTGCTGTGCAGATCCATGTTGAGAACGAGCGCGCGCGCCTGACACGCGAGCTTGCGCGCATCAAGGAGGAAGAGGGCAACATCGCAGGTGCGGTGGTGTGGCGTCACGTGTTTCCAAATGTGTGTTGTGCCGCTCAACATGACACCGCCGCCCACGCCCATACATCTATGCACACTGGACGTACATGTGCACACTGCCACATACACGCACACACACGCACTCCCCCCCCCCACACACACTCGCCCACTCACACACACACACACACACACCATACATCCCCGGGCCCAAAATGTGTGCGCGTGCGCGTGTGTGCAGAGGCTGCGGACGTGCTGCAGGAGCTGCAGGTGGAGACGTACGGCACGATGGAGCGACGGGAGAAGGTCGAGTTCATCCTGGAGCAGATGCGGCTGTGTCTCGCCAAGCACGACTACATCCGCGCGCAGATTATCAGCAAGAAGATCAGCACCAAGTTCTTCAAGGACGAGAGCACGCACGACCTGAAGCTCAAGTACCACCGGCAAATGCTCCAGCTCGCCGCACACGACAGGAGGTCAGCTTGTTCCCGCTGGTCTTGTGTGTGTGTGTGTGTGTGTTCGTGTGTGTGTGTGTGTGTTCGTGTGTGTGGAGAGGGCTGCAACACGTGTTTCTTTGCTTGCCTCTTGCTGTTAGATGTCATGTCTTACTGTTCCTCATTGTGCATCACCCCTCTCTTGTCCCCATTGCGCACCACAGGTATCTGGACATGTGCAAGCACCACCGGTCTATCTTCGACACCCCATCTGTCAAGGCCGACGCTGAGGGTGAGCACACGCTCTTGTGTGTATGCATTTGTGTGTTAGTACAGGGGTAGTGGGAACAAACACAAACACAAACCAATACACACATGTGTACATGTGGTGGTGGAGATAACGAGCGTCTCGAGCGCACACGTTTCACGTTGCTCCCATGCTGACACGGATGTCGATGATGATAATGTTGTTGTTGTTGTTGTTGTTGTTGTTGTTGTTGTTGTTGTTGTTGTTGTTGTTGTTGTTGTTGTTGTTGTTGTTGTTGTTGTTGTTGTTGTTGTTGCTGTTGTTCATGTGGATATGATGGTGGCGATGACGTGTTCATGGCGACAGCTGCGAAGAAGGAGTTTCAGAGCGCGGTGCTGTATCTCGTCCTTGCGCCGTACGACAACGAACAGGCCGATCTCATCGCCCGCGTCTCAGAGGTGCGCCTGTGGACCTATCGGGTGAAGGGGGCCGCATATGTGTATGTACGTGCATGTGTGCGTGTGTGTGTGCGGACGTGCGTGCATGTGCGTATGTACGTGTACGTGTGCGTGTGTGCGTGTGTGTGTGTGTGCGTGCGAACATGTGTACGTGTATGCGTGCGAACATGCGTGTGCTCATAACTCTCTCTCGACCGCCGCCGCCACCACCACCGCCTCTGTCGCTGCCGTGTCCGCCCGTCAGGACCCGGTGCTTGAGGACCTGCCGGAAGCGCAGTCGCTGCTGTCGGTGTTCACCACCGACGAAGTGCGGCCCTGGCGTGTGTTTGAGACGCAGTTTGCACCGTTCCTCCGCAGCACAGACGTGTTTGCCGCCACAGAGCAGGGCGAGAAGCAGTGGAGCGAACTCAGGGACCGCATCATCGAACACGTGCGTTGTGTGTATGTATGCGTTCTTGCGTGCGTGTGTGTGTGTTCTTGCGTGTGTGTGTGTGTGTTCTTGTGTGTTTTGTATGTGTGTGGTCTTGATGATTTGGGTTCTTGCTTGCCTGTGCACCTGTTGAAATGCTCATGTCTGTGCATCCGTGCATCAGCGCGTCTACTGAGCATCACAAATGACATGCCACCCACCCCCCCCCCCAACAATCACCCGTTATGTTGTTTGCTCGTCACAGAACATTCGCGTGATGGCGATGTACTACACGCGCATGCGCACGTCCCGAATGGCCGAGCTCCTTGACCTCACAGAGAAGGTGTGTGTGTGTGTGCTTATTCTGTTTGTGTTTGTGTGTATTGCGTGTTTGTGTTTGTATGTGTATGTGTGTCTTGACACGTCCGCGCATCGCGCTGTGTACCGTCTTTACCCACCATCGTTCACCGTGACGTGTTGGTTTCGTCCCATCAACCACCACCACCACCACCACCACCACCACCCCGAACCCGGCTCGCAGGATGCGGAGAAGTATTTGTCGCGGCTGGTGACGCTCAAGACGGTGTATGCGAAGATTGACCGCCCTGCGCGCGTGATTGTGTTCAAGCCGAAGCCAAAGGCAAACCAGGTGCTCAACGACTGGGGCAGCGGTCTCAGGTGAGCACCAATGACAGTTGTGGTGGCGGTGGTGACACGTGTTTGTGTCAGTTTGTTGGGGAGGTGTGATAGGGTCGCGGTTCCTTGTATTTTGCAACCAGCTCATTTCTGATCTTGTGTCTCTAGTCTTGCGTATGATCTCGTTTCTGTGGTGCCGCCCTTTTCTCACTCCACACCCGCTTCCGCGGTTGCTTTGAACGGCCACGATTGCGTTGTTGCCAGCCATCTCATGTCGTTGGTCGACAAGGCAACACATCTCATCCAGAAGGAGCGCATGGTGCACCAGGTCTGAGCGCACACACGTGTCCACCCCGCCTCCTCCACCTCCGCGAGCCCACATCTCAAGAACGCCGTGTTTGGACTCTGTGGCTTTGTTTTGCAGTTGCGTTTGAGGCGATGGCGAGAGTGATGATGTGTTGCATGTGTTATCACAGTGCACGCGCCATGCAAGCCTAACATCACGATCGCAGTCAAGTGCCCCTCCTTTTGTCGTTTGTGTGGTCCGAAGAAATGAACCGATGAGAGATGAATGGAAACGAGCTCATTAATGTAATGTCAACCATAGCCTGGTGCTGTCGAAAGCCTCATGCTGTGTATTGGGCGAGGAACCCATGAACACGCACACATTCGCAGTGATGTGACGTGCACTGCATGCGACGATGCTGCGATGATCAGGGTGCGCGAAATCTGTAGTTGACTATTTGGATGGGTGCGGAGAGAAGGGCACACTCAGAACAAGAGAGAAGAGGGTGTGGGTGGGACAGATGGAAACAGCACGAACTTGCTTGCTTGCTTGCATGCATGCAGTTGGCAATGAGGGTTGCTCCTCGTGTTTCTTGTCTTCACATCACGTGCAATGCCAGCAGCAAAGGGCAGCCTCATTTCTTGCCACTGTCGCCGTCATCACCAGCGTCGTCGTCGTTTTCCGTCATGCGATCGACCTCGCGTTTGCTCTTGCGCCGGTTCCGCTCCTCAAACTCAAGCCTGCACGCAGTGTATGTTTGTTTGTTTGTTTATGTGTGTGTGTGTGTGTTTGTTTGTTTATGTGTGTGTGTGTGTGCGTGTGAGAAGGAAAGGCAAGTGCAGGAGGTACGTGTGACAAGTGTCATTGACTCAATGCATGTGTGCACACTTGCATGACCAAAGTCCTTCGCCCGCCGCCACCCTGCTGCATCCCGGCACCTGTGCTTGATGATGCGTCGCACGATGTCCGCTGTTGTCATTCTCGACCCGCTGTCAAACTGCACAAAGATGTTTCTCTTCTTCGCTTCAGCAAAGATGTCGCCACCAGCCTGTGGGGGGTTGCGTGTGTGTGTGCGTGGATGTATGTATATGTGTGTGTGTGTGTGTGAGTCCAACACCACGACTCCATTGCAACCACATATACAGGCTGTGCTATCGTGTGCATGTGTGTGCATGTGTATGCGTGCATGTGTATGTGTGCATGTGTGTGTCCTCACATTATCGGCCGCATCACGGCTGCCGCGGAAGACCTTGTTCACCTGAACGACACGTGCGCACCAGCAGTTGTCTTGCGTGAGCGTGTGCAGAGCTAGTTGCGCGTGTGTGCACGTGTGTGTGTGTGTGTAAGCAGAAGCGACTTCTTGCTTGCACGCGTGTCACCACCGGACACGAGAGCGGGTGGCCCGCCCATTCTTCAGAACAGCACCTTGAAATGGTCAAGCAGTTCTGCGGAGACGGCCAGCGGCGGGCCAATCACAACCTCGTCCACATACTGCCAGAGAGACAGAGGGACAGAGGGAGGGAGGGACAGAGAGAGAGAGAGAGTGTGTGTGTGTGTGAATGTGTGAGAAGACGAGGAAGTGCTGGGGCAGGCAGTATAGAAGATACGCCGCATGCACACACATAACCCGGTCCACCACAATCCACAATACACAGTTCCCAACCCGACGTATTTTCGCCTCCAACACCTGTACACTCACGCGGCAGGCGAGGACGGACAGGAGGCGTTCATGGAGGTTCATGATCGGGTAGTTCTGGCCGTGCAGCGCATTTGCGTTCTGTTGCGCAAACACGCGCGCGTGTGATGTGTGTCAGCACAGCTGGTGTGTTGGGAAGTTTGGGTGGACACAAGAGACGGGGAGAGGAAAGGCGCGCATGGAGACGGCGACAGCAATCAACAAGCAGCATGCATACAGCTATGCGCGTGTGTATGTATGTATGCATGTACGTATGTATACGCTGTGTGTGTGTGCTTGTGGGTGTACCTTGTCGGAGTGCACGCCAACGATGAGGAAATCGCACATGGACCGCGCCTTCTTCAGCGCCGCAATGTGACCCACGTGGAACAGGTCAAACGTGCCTGGAACAGAAATGAGTGAGTGAGTGAGTGAGTGAGTGAGTGAGTGAGTGAGTGAGTGAGTGAGTGTGTGAGTGTGAGTGTGTGTGTGTGTGTGTGTGTGTGTGTGTGTGTGTGTGTGTGTGTGTGTGTGTGTGTGTGTGTGTGTGTGTGTGTGTGGGTGGGTGGGAATGAGCAGCCCACTTAATGTTGGTGGCAATTGTGTGGTTACAACGGCAGGTGGATGGGTCAATGCAGAGAAAGGTGTGATCGAAACCCAGTGCCACGTGATGCGATTGGGGTTTAAATGGAGAGCGTGTGTTCCGTGGGGCTATAAAGGACAGCACAAGCGTGTGATCGGCAACGTGTGCACGCACCTTGGATGTATCCAACGACGTCGCCAGGCTTGGGTTCCTTCTTGTCCGAGAACTGCACAATGCGCTGTGTTGGCGAGGCCGGTATTGATTGGTTGGTTGTGGCAGTGGTGAGATGCGTTGCAGATGGATACTTGCACACGATCAATGTCACAAGCAGCACGAGCAAGGCAAAGACACACCAAGCGAAAGATCAAGGGCAACACACACATATATGCACAGACACACGCACAGACACACAGGCACATACGCACATACACACAGACACACACACACACATATGCACAGAAACACGCACACATACGCACGGACACACGCACACATACGCACAGACACACACACACACATACGCACATACACACATACGCACAGACACACACATACATACGCACAGACACGCATACCTTGGTGGTTGGCAGGAACTGGGAAGCGCCCGTGTAAGGGCTAACAATATCCTTTGGCTTTCCCTGCATCTCGGACACGTGCGGGATGGACATGGGCTTGTCTTCCTCGTCGGAGGTGAAGTGCGTCTTGGTCATGAGCAGCATCCGGCCCACCAGGTCCGTCGTGGACACGCCTTGTGTTCGCGCGTACTCCTTGTACCGGTTCGCGGCCTTGACAAGATGGTACGCATCTTGCCCGTCACCCTTTGTATCATGGAACGGGAGCGCAACACGCCAGCGCGGCACAGCAGGGCAGCATACAGTTTCACATGGCGGCGTGAGACACAGCTGCGCGTAGGGGTGCGCATGTGTGAAAGTGTGGATGTCGAATGAATCACTCAGGCCACACAAAGACACGTGTCAACGGACGCACCGCAGTGGTGATGTCGTCGCCGTGGACGCAAAAGTCGCAGTTGTACTTGTCAAGGACGTCCAGCTGCGTGACATATGGTGCATCCTCCACCACTTCGTCAACCCATTTGCAAGCGCGGACCATTTCGTACCTTCCCCACACGACATGGCAGAGCAGTGGCAGTGTGCACAGTTCAGTTTGCACTGCTGTTGATCTGCAACGATAACAAAGGCACGCACACACACGCACGCACACACACGCACGCACACACGCACACACGCACACACACACACACACACACACACACACACACACACACACACACACACACACACACACACACACTGACCGCTCTTCCTCGTTCATGACGGGTGGGCCTTTGTTCTTGCGGATCTCCTCGTCCGAGTGAACGCCGACGATGAGGTAGTCGCCCATAGCCTTGGCTTGACGCAGTGCGTTCGCGTGGCCAAAGTGCATCATGTCGAAGCTGCGCAACGATCGCCAGTAGCATGACGAAGTGAGGGAGGGAGGGAGAGCATGTGCAGATGAGTGGTTGATGAAAGAGGAAGGTCACGGCCAAAGGAACAAAGGAAGGTGATGTGGCGGCGGCAAAGAAAGCTCAGACGATGTCAGCATGATGGGATGCCATGGAGGCAGCATCAACACCAGCCAGCCACAAACGTACCATCCATCGCACCACACCCGCACGGGCTGCTTGGCCTTCTTCGCATCCGGCTCGCTGCTCATCCTCGCTGCCTTTCTTCTCTGGCGTCTTGATCTCTATCGCGGTGTTGCAGTGAACAAGAAGGGTGTTGTGTATGGCTGTATGTGTTGTTGCACAATGCCAATGTGTTTTTCAGACGCAGAAAACGGGACACGCCTTCCTCTTCTTCTTCGTTTGCGTGTCTGCTCTGGTATGGTGTGGTGTGGTGTCTTGGTGTGGTGTCTGCTGTGCGACCTCTCACCTCACTTTATGTTAGTTTGGAATGATGTACTTGGTAGGCGACAGTGGTGGTTGGCCGCAGAGCAAGCAATGTAACAACACACACACACACACACACACACACACACACACACACACACACACACACACAGCACAAAGCAGGCAAGGCGCAGTGCAGTGGGCTGTCAGATGAACAAGCACACCAGCACAAAAACCAAACAGCGTGTAACACAGAACCAACAACACATGAAGCAAAGCGTAAGTGAAACAGCCATTCACAGCAGCCACGGCCCTTCCTTTGCCCATTGGGTGCAGCTATCATATCACATCTTGCGTCCCCCATGAAACAATCAAGCACGTCATCATCACAGCGATGGTGGGAACTTGGTGTTGAACCGCTTGACAAACTTGGCCACATGCCCAAACTTGGCCCCAGATTCCATCATCTGCTTGCGGAATTCCGAGCCGAGGTCAATGCAGGCACGGCATGCCTCCACATCGTCCACGCCAAGCTCCTTCAACACGGGCCCAAGGGTGCGCGCAAACCCTTCCTGTCGCAGCCACGCCCAGAACACAGCGTGGGCAGGTGGCTGCGTTGTTGCTGCAGCTGTCGTCGCTGTTGTTCCTGCAGCTGCAGCAGCAGCAACAGCTGTTCTCACAGCGTTTGACTGCGTCACATTCAAGTGGTGTATGTGTGTGTGTGTGTGTGTGTGCGTGCGTGTGAGTATTGGAGAAATGTTGCAAGCTTTCATGGTGAGCGTCTTCAACCCATCATCAAACTGAATTGCCATTCTCACCGTGCGAGCACGCGCAGCAGGGTGCCTCCCATGGGACTGAGGTGTCCCGCCATGTGCGTGGCCATTGCTGCCCTGTTCACGTGCACCCTGGGAGCGCGCGCGTTGCTGCTGTTGCTGCTGCTGCTGCTGCTGTTGTTGCTGCTGCTGTTGTTTCTGCTGCTGCTGTTGTTGTTGTTTTTGCTGTTGCATTCGTCGCTGCTGCTGCTGTTGTTTCTGCTGCTGCTGTTGTTGTTGTTTTTGCTGTTGCATTCGTCGCTGCTGCTGCTGTTGTTTCTGCTGCTGCTGCTGTCGGCGTTGCAGTGCCTGTTGTCGCTGCCACAGCCGTTCGTCGTGTCGCAGTTGCTCCTGCCGCCGCTGCATCTCGCGCACCTCCTGCCGCCGCACTTCAGCAGCAGAAAGACCGCTCACGCGTCGGCCATCACCACTGGCATCCGCAGCGCCCCTTGCGTCCCCACCATTGCCACCATCGTCGTGGCCATCGTTGTCATCATCATCATCATCATCACCGTCATCATCCTTCACAATCACGGCTGCCCTGTCGCTGCCACCGCGGCGCTGGGCACTGGCGGCGGGTGCAGATGACGATGACGATGATGATGACTCGGAAGCCCGGGTGCGGGCGGCTGTCTCAACTTGCTGCATCTAATATGGGTTTAGCACGCATGCATACATGGAGCGAACATGTGAGTGTTCGGCGCTGAAAGCGAGTGTCGTGTATGTGTGCTGTGTATATGCTTGTGCAGTGCGGTGCGCGACAGCACAAGGGATTGATGAGTAGACACGCACACACGCAGATACACACGCAGACACACAACTACGCGGAACAAGTGAGTGCTGGTGATGTACACATCATCAAACATACGATGACTTTCTGCAGAACGGCAACTGTCTCCTTGTCGTCAGCGTCCTGCGCAAGATGAATGGGCAGGCGGCCCTGCGACAGGTTGCGTTGCAGATGTGCATGCAGTTTCGTTGGTTGATGATGTGTGCATGCGTGTGTGTGCGTGCATACGTGTGTGTGTGTGTGTGCGTGTATAAGAGAGAGAGAGAGTGTGTGTGTGTGCGTGCACCTGTGCATCGCCGATGGTTGCATTTGCCTCGGCAGTCAGAAGCACCTGCACCACGTCCTTCTTCTGGGCATGCACAGCATGGTGCAAAGCCGTCCACCCCTGAGAGTCATACATGCAACAGGAAGAGGGCGGTGTGAGATTGGTATGCCAGGCGGTTCGTGAACACGCGCGCAGGCATTGGAGGTGCGAGGCGATGAAAGAATGAAGACTGGGAACAGACTATCCACAGCACAAACTTGATGGAAAAAGGCAAGAAGAGATGAGATCACACACGCATACACACGCGCGCGCACACACACGCGCACACACGCGCACACACAAACACACACATTCGCACTGTGAACGCACAATATTGTCTTGGATGTCCGGTTTTCCACCGTTGTCGAGGAGGAGTTTGGCAATGGCGGGAAATCCTTCCATCGCTGCGTGATGCAATGCAGTGCGGCCCTGAATTGCGACCATTGACCAGTCACATCACCAAGAGTAAGCGGATGAAAGACGTGGATCTTGAAAGAATGGCAGGTGGAGGGGAAGAGAAACAGGCAAGCAAAGAGGCCAGCAGCAAACAGAGCACACACACAAGGAATCCCGCGAACGCACACGAGCAAGCACGCACACTCCAACACACACACATACACACACACTCTCTCTCTCCCACATGCACACATACAACCACGCACACACACACACACACACCTTGTCATCCTGCTCGTTTGGGTCTGCGCCTCTCTGCAGGTGAGCGCTGGCGTAATCGGCATTGCCGGCGTGGCATGCCGCGTGCAGCGGATACAGGGCAGACAGCAGCGTCGCAACCGCGGTCGGCCTGTTCTGGGCACGCGCAATGTCCAGCGGTGTCTGGCCCTGTGAACTCAAAACCACACACACACACATGTACACATAAACAATGTCATGGGTCAGGTGAGGTTTGCAGTTTTTCCATACGCACGGATGAAACACGTGAACGTTTGTTTGTGTGCGTGAATCACAGTGCAGGTCAGCCCATGTGTATTTACTCTTCACACAGACACAGCAGTCTTCGCACGCACGTGTTCGTCTTTCAGTGTTGGGTTTGCGCCGAGGCTGAGCAGCATCTCAAGCGTCTCGTCGTTGTGCGCGCCCGCAAAGTGTGCCGGTGTGTGGCCCTATTGGTGAAGGTGGCGATGGTGAGCGTTGGTGTGTGATGGGTGATGAGTGTGTTTGGAGCAAACAAGATACTTGTGGCTCGATGATGTTATGTTATCCAAAACAAAACTTGCATGCGTGTGTGTGTGTGTGTGTGTGTGATTGTGGCGCGGTGGAATTGGGTGGATCAGGGGGGAGTCATTTTTGGCTTGCTCAAAGGCCACGCACGGCCAAGCCCGGATACACAGCGCACGGCAGCACGCCCAGACCTGGTTGGAAGCGGCGTTGACATCGGCGCCACGCTCCACCAGCAGATGGACAATGCCGGGGGTGTGGGCGACGTGAAGTGCTTGGCGGCCCTGTAACGCGCGTCGCACAACCGGTAAGACAACAGTGATGAGCGCTTGCATTCGCAACCACGGACAGGAGGCAGCCACGCCTGTACACTTGGTGCACTTGCATACGTACACACACAGGCACACAAGCAAACTTGTTCGCAGGTACGCGCAGTCACACACACACACATACGCACGCACGCACGCACGCAAGCAGAAAAGCACAACTTGTACACCTCGTTGTCTTTGTCCTGCACGGTTGCGCCGTGCTCCAGCAGCAGATTCACGAGCTCTGCAAAGCCACGTTGGCTGGCCTGATACAGCGGTGTCTTGCCCTGTGGCATCGCGCACAACAGGAAGAAACAAGGGACCACATGATCATGTTTGGTGTGAGCGTGGCACATGCCGCCAACAAATGCAACCGAACACACACAGAGAGAGAGAGAGACACACACACACAGAGAGACAGAGAGAGAGAGAGAGAGAGAGTGTGTGTGTGTTTGTGACACACACACACACGCACATACACACACATACAAACACAAGCACACAGAAACACACGAATGGACATTTCGAGGCGCACCGCGTGGTCTTTGATGGAAGGGTTGGCGCCGCGCTGGAGAAGGAGCTCGGCCAACGGCAGATCGCCGCTTCGGGTGGCATAGTGCAGCCCAGTAGCACCCTTGCACGAGTATCCATCATCGATATTCCAAAGTAACGCAGCCACAAGTGGAAGCAAGGCCAAGCAAGCGAGAAGGGAAGCGTGCATGACAAGCGACTGTGAGCGCGCGCATGATTGTGTCTCAGTGCTCCAAAAAGACGCAAGCAACAACAACACACACCGCCACAGCCAGAAGGAAATGACAGCCATCCAGAACAGGGAAGCAACCATCATCACCGCCAGGACAACCACGATCAGAACGATCAGGACAGCCAAGACCACAACCACGACCACGACTGCACACATGCGCAAGTCTCACATGCTCGTCTCGTTCGTTGACGTCCTTTGCACGGGAGAGCCAGCCTCCGTTCAGCAGCGAGGTGACCTTCCGCACATCCCCTTCAATACACGCTTCGTGAAGAGCACCCATCCTCCCTTTCCTTGCGCGTTGACGCTGACGTGGGCTTGGGCTGTGTCTAGTGGATCAATGAGTGTGGGTGGTGTGGACAAACGTGTTGTGTCGACGTGAACGTCAGCAGTGCAGCTGTCCTTCTCACAGTCCGCACGGCAACCAAAACAAATAATTTGTGGTGTCGTGAGCCGTCGACAGTTCGATTCGGTTTTGTCGTCGTTCAGCAACAGCCAGATCACACAACCAAGCAACCAACCAGGCAAGAAGGCAAGACGGCACCGCCCATCGCTTGCTTGTTGTCACATCGCGCATCATCGGAGCGACGATGTTCAGGGGCAAGTATGAGCCGTATGCGGAGCCGGCGCTGGCCACAATCCGCGGCCTGCTGTGTGCGGGCGAAGAAGGCGACAGCATGAAGCGCGTAGGCGTGGTTGCTGTGGCCATTGCCAGCCAGATGAGCCATCTCCACGAGCACCGGCGCTTGTCACAGGCACTCACCAGCCCACCACCAACGCAGCAGCCCACACCACACAGGCACCAGCAGCCTGCTCAGCGACAGCCCTCCCGTGCACCAGCACGACCCACGCCACGAGCAGCCACAACACCCGCGCGCCCAGCAGAACCAGTGCCCAGCACCAGCACGATCAGCGGCGGGGCTGGCGATATCGATGACTCGCTCGTCCTGCGGCGCGCGATTGATCAAGCCGCAGCCACGTGGCACCTCACCCGTGATGAGGAGGCCCTGCTGCAAGACGGCAGCGTGTATGTGGACAAGAGCAAGTGGCAGTTTCTGTTCCAGGACGTGCATACCCTCTGTGTCGGACCACATGCACCGAGCCTCTACCTTGATGTTGCCGCCACCTTTGCAGCCAAAGCCACCGTCATTCGCACCGTGAGTTCTGCAACCTTGGTTGCAGCGTGTGCGTGTGTGTGTGTGTGTGTGTGAGAGAGAGAGAGAGATAGATAGAGAGAGAGTGTGTGTGTGGGTGCGGATGTACGTGTGCATGTGTATATGTGTACGTGCGTTTGTGGATGATAGCGTGCATGTCACATCGACACGCATTCATGCGTGTACTATTCATCGTACCTGTTAGGAACTGGCGCGGTCGGCTGAAGACGGGTTCTTGCTGCGGTACCGGGAGGCATTCAGCAAATACAGAGATGCCATCACTTACATAGACATGGCGTGCAAGTGCGTGCACTGCTCTCTGTTGAAGTGGGGCAAACTTGTCCACAAATATTTGTGTGTGTGTGTGTGTGTGTGTGTGTGTGTGTGTGTGTGTGTGTGTGTGTGTGTGTGTGTGTACGCGCTTGTGTTCGCACCTATCCGTGTTGCATTGCGTACCCTCGTTCGTTTGCGTGTCG